ACAACAGTAAGAATGGAATTTCCAAATAAGGCGCCATCCTGCTGTGGGATATAGTTCGAAGAAATCCTCAACGGGAGTCCTACGGGGTAAAATCAGCAACTCTGTCGTGAAAATCACCCTTTATGAACGGGTTCTTACCAGTTATGTATCTTGACTGAAACTGCAACCATGGGAGAGATAGTGGCCATGGAATTGGTTCCCGGCAGGAAGGCGTACGAAGAAGGATACTTACACCTTCAGGCGGCTTCGGCGCAGGTTCTACGGAATGTTTAACGGAAAGCAAGCCGAAGTTTATGATCGCGCCTCAACTTACCACCTCCGTATTGAAATCGGTAATACCTCCTGGTCTGCACCTCGACCTTCCTTTGGTCCTGAACTTGCCCGAATAATACAACCTCAGTATCATGTCCCAGAGCCTTGCGATTAGCAATCTCGTGGCCGATATACCGCCAGGTTGCGTGAGCAAGCGATTTCGGAACATTTTTGTTGAAGCCCCACAACTTGAGTTTGTATTCAAGCTGGTGTTTGCTATCAAGATATCAGCTGTGGTTATTTTATAAATTCGAGCGCTGGAGTCGCCTTACTTTGGATGGAAATTGTCACATGAAAGTATTTGTACTATGTCATCCAGAGATTGTTTCTCGATAAGATACATGTCCCAGGTGGCAGCCTTACGCTGCAACCACTCGTTGTGTGGGAATCGCTTTGTTGAGCAAGCCATAGCTGTATATATCGCAGTACCGAAATCAAGTAGGAAATACGAAGGGGTAGGATAGATTGGCTCAGAAGTCCACGGAATGAAGTCGAAGGTATATATTGACAATTTGAGTGCACGCCTTTTTGGTTTGTTTAGCCAACTGCCTTGACGAGGGCGACGGAGTTACCTATAAGTTCCATAAACATAGAGGCATACGTCCGTCACCTTAGTGGCCGAAACGACTCTCTGATTAGCCAGCTTCATTATCGGAAATACCTAGGTGCATGAATATATGTCGGCAGTGACTGCGAGTGGCCACTTCGGGTATCTCCACCCATTCCCAAGCTCCTAGGTATGCTGTACTGTGATTTGCCCACTTCATCATCGGAAATGCATGTCAGCGCAATAGGGTTGGAATTTACGGGGGTGCTGCAGCTAGTGTTCGATCATGCGCGGAAATTGGCAGCGCTGTGAAGGAAACTCTGCCCTATTAGGCATACGCCACGGCCTACATGGCCACGGGGCGGATATGCAAGGCAGTCCGGAAGTCTTTCGCCATTTAGACCTATGAGTAGAAGATCTTGATGTCGAAGTAGTAGGTTTTGTGGCCAAAAGTGCCCACCCTTATCAAAGATATATCATAGGCCTTTAGCGATCTTGCAAGTGTCTCGGTCTTGCAGTTGCAGTTAACTACTACATGGGGGCGCGTTCAGTCGCCAGATGCAGGATTTGAGATATCAAGGGAATGAGGTAAGAGGACATCTACCCGTCACTATCTCTATATCAGGGGTTTTGGATTACGAAGCAGGTTTCATGCTTGTCGGACACTCCATGAGCGGCAAGCCGACTCAAAATCTTATTCAATCCGTCGCCGTTCCTAAGAAACCGTGTCACGATTTGTCCCATACCTCTCGGAGTATATTTCTCCCACCTAATTGCTGGGGCAGCAACAAACCGCTTTCGAAGTCGCGGAAAGCTTTTTAGTATGTCCTGATTCACTGGGCAGTCACCCAGGATAAATAAATAATAGCGCGATACGTGGAGGACTTCTTGCGAGGTAGCTAGGTTTTGAGGCTAGCTTGGCTAGATTATGCATCTTCAAGTAACTATGGCGAGTATGGGGAGAAGATCAAGGCTCCAGTGGTGGTACTTGTAGGGATAAGAACTTCAAGCTAGCTGATGAGATCCTTGATTCCATCGCCTGCGTATCCTAGAGTAGTTGATTCTCAAGAGAGGGAATGAGATCTTATGTCGAGAGTTACAAAGAGCACCAATAGTCCTACTACTTTGGGGTTTGATCGGGCTCATGAACACGGATCCGTCGGCGAGCCAGTTATACAAGTCGGAGTTATGACCGGCAATGATTCTGTCACGGAAAATACTCAGTCTCATAGCTGGCATCAAGATAGTGATGTTCTTAACGGAAAACTGATCGACTACCATTCATTAGAGCAAGGTTATCTGCCACCTCGTATGTTTTTGTTGTGTCCCTAAAGGGCATGGCTAAAATCAACCTCGAGATGTCCACGAAGTCCGTTTGGAGCTTCCGTTTTTGTATTGCAATGCATAATATGAGATAGGGGCCAGGCAAATGGAGGCATTACAAAGCTCACAATTTCATGTTTCTCGTTCTTGAGCAAGAGGGGGGCAAGCATCGTAAACTTGAGCACATACTGTATTTCACTAAAAATTAGCGCGTCACATATACACGCAGCTACCCGCTGCTACAAGCAGACACGTTTGGCTATAATGCTGAAACCGGAGGGACTCTGTGACTCCATCCTACAGATGAAGACAGCCGAAGTCAGAAACCTCCGATGAGAAACCTAGAACATTAACCTAAGTCTGTTTAATAAGTGAGGGCTTATAGATAGTTCCAATTCATCAATAACCTACGAAGTACAACTTAGCCCAGTCCTGCCATTCTGCAGTCTATCGGAGCCCCTTAGATTCTTGAAGCAATAAGTACAACTTGTCAGCACCCCTAGCCTCCGAGGTCGGTCGAAATACCCCATAGAAGCGAAAGTGAATAGACGCAACCTAATCATTACCAATATCGCCGAAAGTCGCGTCCAGCACGCGTCAGCGCGTGTTACGCGCGTAACATGTGGACGCATGTGTGAAACCTTCGTACAACGGTTTACAATTATCCATGTTACCATTTATATTCTTAGCCGACAGCATGTTCCCTTGGCAAGCGCACTTGGAATACCGTAACAATTTGTATGTCTCATCGGTAGATGTCATCCAGTTGCACAAGAAGCGCGCTGTAAGGGATTATCATGTACAACATACTGAATCAAACAGGTGCCTATTGAGCCGGAGAGAAATACGACCTGCTCACACCTGCAGGTTAGTTCATACTCACTCATGCATACTCATCTCCCTTTTGTCTTGCGACTACGAAGCCACTACGTACGATGGGGGAACATATTTGACCTCTCAAGTATGAATCAAGGAGGTATTGGGAAAGGTCCGCTCTTGCCTTGAGCCACTTTCTTGAATACAATGCGCGTGACAGTACCATATAGTCGAGAGTGGCGATAGACATATTTTGTTGCGCGAACATCTCTAAATATCTTCCTTGACTACCCTTCACTGCATGCACTCTGTTTTGTAGTGTTTCTAGGCAATTCAAGTCTGTAGCTCTGAGTCTTCCCTCTCTTTCTACTCAAGGATGACAAGGGGCCAGGGCAGCTTGGGCGTGTGACATTAAGCGACAATGGATGCCGGCTGTCCAGGGTTCTGAAATTGTTGATTACAAACAAAGGCATCTGAAACACACTCAATCGACCCCGAACAAATCCAGGAGCTTCGGAGTGAACCGGAAATTTACAACGCACTTATATCGCTGCTGCTTAATGATCAAACTCTTACATGTTGTAGTAGTAGACTCTCGATCGCAATAGATAGCCTACGTAGTCATCCACGCAGCGTACCAAACTCTGATGGAGAATTTATCAGGACACATTAGTGGAAGTTTGCGATAGATAGTAGAATCACGTACGACTCGTCATTATGTGGGAAGTCAGACTTCTTGAAATCTTTTAGTCCGATTCAATATCAGATCTAAAACTAGTACAATTTAGGTGATGGTTTGCATATTCAATCTCATATTCCAAAATCCATCACCTCTATACTGTAAAGCCCGTGTATTAGACATCACATGCTCGTCTTTATCATGATGGTGAAGACGAATCTCCCTTTTCTGGAGCCTTAGGAGGGGGGGAAGGTCTAATCTTCACAAACTGCATCTGTCTCAACCTACCACAGGAGGAGAAACCTCCCGGGGCATCCTTACAGGTGACACGTCTGCGCTCGCCAACGATTTCCCAGATTTGGGTAGTCTCGTTCAAAATTTTATCTTGCTCGTAGTTGCACATCTTCGTGGTATATCAACGCTTGCCGGGCTGTCGGAGGTAAAGCGTAGAGGTATGTATAAATTCTTGTTGTCAAATGAAGAGTCAGTTCTCCCTCGTATTCTAGTTCTTGGCTATATATCCACGCACCCTTTGTTCTGGGGGCTGTGCTGTAACAATGTGGTTTGTGGGTTTCCTTGTTTGAATCAAGTATGAAGTGGTGTCAAAGGGCCTGACTACAAGGAGAACATATGCGGTCTGTAAAGTGTAGGATCCTAGTGTAGCAATGAGTGAATCCCTGGACTGTCCAAGTGGTGAACAGGTTCGTGGCGCTCATATTTATATTCAAGAAGTCGGTTTGTTCGCCCCAAGGGGTGGCTGTTTATAGTTGGTCCGACAAGTAAGGGCGGGTATCCAAGCTACACAGGCAGTTACAAAGCTCCTTCACTGGGCGTACAAATGCATTGTTGTTTCATCCTCGGTGCGTGGTGTGGCAGCAAGTAATACTCTCGTTTGCAAATGGTTGCTTGCACTCTCACATCTGCTCTCCCTGATTTTCGGCTTCGTAATACTTCGAGTATATGGACTAGTAGGTATGTATTACTATGAAATCCCTTTTTAATACTCTCGGTCCCACGTTATCTCTGAATGAGTGCTTCCGATTCTTAATAATCACTCCATATCGCTGCTCAGCGCTTACTTGCTTACATCTATGTCATGTCTACCATAACAGTATTGTATCCCAAGCTACCTAGTGTTATCATTTCAGATTTTACAGTTACTTCCTAAGTCATAGGGCGACTGACGTTGTAGCGCATCACGCCGCCCATACAAACTACAAAGCGATTTTTTGTTTTCAGTTGCCATATCACACACATACTTAACTAAGAGAATGAAAAAAGATGGATGGAAAAAGGAGAAAAGGAAAACAGAAAAAAATTGCTCTCCGAATCGGGGAATCGAACCCCGGGCTTGACGGTTCTTTTCCAGAGTTCACGGGATCATGAGAGCGTCAAATGTTAGCCACTACACCAATTCGGATGATCTCCACACGCCTCTGTTTCAAAACATATCATACCAAACCCCAGATGTTCAATACTTGCTGGTATCTGTTTGCAACAAACTAGAATAAGAGAGCGTGATTTGCGGTCAGCGAATAATATTTATGAACGGACTAACTCATATTGAATTTTAAAACATAACCCAAGGACCATTGTGTACTACAAACTTACATCTATCTACTTACCAGGCAAGTAGGTAGGTATGTAGAATGATACCGCCAAGGTGATGGAGGAATCCCACCTTGAATACCATGATAGATATCATACCATATAGCCTACCTATCAGAGCCTTTTTCGAGATTGCACTGGGATATTCCACTGCACCGGTATGGATCAGTGAAAAAGGCCAGCAATATAGCAAGATAGCACATTCTTTGGAATGCGTGTGCCGCCTCTGTTCCTTTTCCATCCCTATGGAGTATATGAGAGTATATCTCATCTCACATTGTTTGCTTATCGAAAATGCATGATACATAGGGACACTTGAAGGTATATGGAGGGAGGGGGACTTCAGGCATGATCCTACTGAAATGACTTTGATTCTTTGAAGAGACTGAATAATAATTGGGTTTCGAAGCGGACTATCTATCATCAAATATTTTTGGGGAAGAAATGAAAGACAGAAGAGAACATGCAAGTTACCAAATTCATATCCTGTGTGGGTCTTGGTGTGTTCGTCTATACTTAAGCCTTCATATCCTAATTATACTTTCATCTGTGACATGTCCCCGAAAAAAAATCGAGCTCGAGGATATTGACTGTACTTACCGACGCTTTTAGATGCCTAACGTGAGGTGTAGACACTCTGGACATCTTGGCGATGTTAAGATATCGCATGAACTGAAACTATCAAGCACAGAGCTAGGTGTGAGCAGCAAAGAGATCTTCACAGCCCGTTTGAAGAGTAAACTGCTGATTTAATCTCAACGGGTACTCTCTATCTCTTGTGGCTTATCATGTCCCCCCCCGGCTTCCCGCGAATACATAGGCACTTAGCACAACTCGATCTCTATTTCAAGAAACGTCTTTTCTATCCTTAGTTTATATGTCAATTCATAGGCCCGACAAGTCCTACACACGTGCATTTTTTGACGATGATTGATAACAGTAGGTCCCCAGCTTCTACATCTGCACCAGCCAAACGTCGATTATTTTGTGTAGATGTAAGTACAGGACTAAGCATCCATATTGACGGTCAAAATTCAGGATTGAGGTTAGATCTCACAATAGGAAGGATTCTGCGTGCAGCCATGTAGTAAGCAGTCACTCTAGTCAGACGCTACGTCAGTGATCATCAAGGTACCTACGGGACTTATCGACCGAGCAGAAACCGAGGCATCGAAACCCTGCTCACTACCCGTACGTTCGACGGCCAGCGAGCTGTCTGCGTGGGAGATAGTAGCTACTGGGGGGCTATTTGAAAAGGGTAACCTTCATAGAGTAGAGAAAAACTTTGAGTACCATGAATCATGTATAAGACGGAGTGGATGGACACTAAAGCAGAGCCGGCAATGTCCTGAATCGGTAATGAGCATCCAGTCTTCCTATCTGGGTAGTCTGGGTACACTAGGTATTATTGTTGTAGGCCTGAATCTACAGAGGGCATATCGGTGGATTTGGTTGGTTGATTCAGGCTTTAGTGGCGATCCTCAGCACCTGCAGTCTTTACATTGGGCCAGAGTCTGGCCAGAGCTCGGCCAGAGCTACATCAGTACTGTAGGTAAGCTGGTTAGCTGACTGGATCGTTAGCGGCGCACTAGCTAGCTCTTTAGCGTGTCCAGGCAGATCTAGGGACTTTGCTCACCTCACCCCCGCCATCTCCCGCCATCGGCGCAAGGATTGAGCAGACGAACCCCACCATTTCTACTTTTTTCTCGCCTCACCTCTTCTTTTCTTCTACTCCTCCTTCTCCAGCCTTCAATCCCACGAGCTTGACCTCGACTTCACTTCATTGATCCTCGCCTTCTCACATAAGCCCTGCGATAGATAGACCTGTTCGCTTCTTTACCCCTCCAATCAGTCGCTCCGCCTACAACCGTCGCCATGGCTGCTTACGCTCTTTCTCAGGAGCACAGAGATGTGAGTACCAGATACACTAGATTCTATGTCCTGCGGATGAATTGGCGCTGACACGCTTCTAGATGCTCGAGAAGTCCCTCGTGGACTCGGACCCCGAGGTTGCTGAGATCATGGTATGTCTCCATCATCAATGCCTTTGCTCAGCCGTGTTTTCTTCGAGGAGCTCGCTCACTGACGGCCGATGCAGAAAAAAGAGATTCAGCGTCAGCGAGAGTCCATTATCCTCATCGCTTCCGAGAATGTCACATCGCGTGCTGTCTTCGATGCTCTAGGATCACCCATGTCCAACAAGTACTCGGAGGGCCAGCCCGGCGCGCGCTACTACGGTGGCAACGAGCATATCGATGCCATCGAACTGCTCTGCCAGAAGCGCGCCCTCGAGGCCTTCCACCTCGACTCTGCTAAATGGGGTGTCAACGTCCAGTCCCTGAGCGGTAGCCCTGCCAACTTACAGGTGTACCAGGCCATCATTCCTCCCGGTGGCCGACTCATGGGTTTGGACCTCCCCCACGGTGGCCACTTGAGCCACGGCTACCAGACACCTGCCAAGAAGTAAGCTTCAACCGACAGCTACATCTTGTCCTTCTTTTCTATCGTAGCACTAACTCGGTTCCTCGCAGGATCTCTGCTGTTTCCACCTACTTCCAGACCATGCCCTACCGGGTAAACATTGAGACTGGCATCATCGACTACGACAAGCTCGAGGAGAACGCTCAATTGTTCCGCCCCAAGATCTTGGTCGCTGGTACATCCGCTTACTGCCGCGAGATCGACTATGCTCGCATGCGCAAGATTGCCGATTCCGTCGGCGCTCACCTCGTCGTCGACATGGCTCACATCTCTGGCCTCATCGCTGCCGAGTGCATCAAGTCGCCCTTCCATTACGCTGATGTTGTCACCACCACAACGCACAAGTCGCTCCGTGGACCTCGTGGTGCCATGATCTTCTTCCGCAGGGGTGTACGCAGCACCGACAAGACTGGAAAGGAGACCAAGTACGACCTGGAAGAGAAGATCAACTTCTCCGTCTTCCCCGGTCACCAAGGTGGCCCCCACAACCACACCATCACTGCTCTTACCGTTGCCCTCAAGCAGGCCGCTACTCCTGAATTCAAGGCTTACCAGCAGAAGGTTGTCGCTAATGCCAAGGCTCTGGAGAATAAGTTCAAGACTCTCGGCTACACGCTGGTGTCTGGCGGTACCGACTCACACATGGTGTTACTCGATCTGCGCCCCATACCTTTGGATGGTGCACGTGTTGAGGCCGTTCTCGAAAACTTCAACATTGCCTGCAACAAGAACAGTGTCCCCGGTGACAAGTCAGCCTTGACTCCTGGTGGTCTGCGCATCGGTACCCCCGCCATGACCTCGCGTGGTTTTGGTGAGAAGGACTTCGAGCGCGTTGCCGACTACATTGACCAGTCCATCAAGATTTCCCAGGAAGTCCAGGCCAGCCTACCTAAGGAAGCCAACAAGCTCAAGGACTTCCGGGCCAAGGTAGCCGGTGGCGAGGTTGCTAAAATTAACGATCTCAAGAAGGAGGTCGCTTCCTGGTGCCGAGGCTTCCCCCTCCCCGTTGAGGGCTGGAGGGTCGACGCTGGTATCTAAGCGGACTTGTTTTATCGGTTCTGGGATTATTTGGTTTTATAGTAAGGCGTGTAGGGGCTGCATCGTCGTTCAACATAGATGACTAGGCGGGAAAATTGGAGGCAACTCAACTGTTCTCTAGGGAGCGCCTAACAATCGGCTCTTTTTCTTAGTTTCAAATGGATTTGGTTTATGGTGGGGTAAAGGGACGAGAAAAAAATTATACCTTGCATGCATTCATCAGGCGTTGCAAGTGCTTTTTTAACGAGAGCACCGGGAGTACTGGCAGCTCTTCCGGGTTTGAGTTATTCAACAACTCTGCTGCTTCAACGCGCTCTTACACCGTATTATGAGAGTCACGGTGTCATTTCATGTATATACCACACATTGTAAAGACAGATCAGATGATATACCACGAAGGACAACATTTGAAATCTCAAGAATGTGCCCAAACTTCGTATTGTTCCGTTTACGTGAAACATGTGTATATGAATGAGCAGACAGAAAGGTGTCACTCCACGAATATGCGCCCTATTTGCATCAAAAGACAGCATCAAATGTGGCCCGGTGGCTATACCTGCTTTATCTTGTATAGGTGCTAAAATAAGCATATTGGGTTCGCCTCGCTTCTCTCACTTACTTTTTTTTCTTTGCGTCCTTGTCGTTGTTGTCATAAGGCTTATGTTCTCAACAGCTGTTACGAGGAAAGCAGACAAATAAAATCAAGATGCCTACTACCTTACTCAACTCAACCCTCACCCACATCTCACATATCTCATGAGTCTCATCGTTCTCAACCCAAAAAAGAAAAAAGAAAAAGACGAACAGGGTGTACAAACAATACACATAGAATCAGCTCTATTCATCTCTCAATTAAGTCTTTAACCTACACCATCATGGGCTAGTTTAGTTCTTAAAAGGACCGTGACCCCTTTATAATCTGTGTAATGATAGAACAAAAAGTGATCAAGTAAGCTCCTCACGAAAGTAGGTAGCCTGCTTTAATGCGGCTTTTGATTGACTCCAAAAAATTCTGTTTTATACAGTGTCTGCCATACGCAGCTGGTATTCCACTCCTTGTACTCCTAACCTTCCTACTCCTCTTTTTATAAAAGTGATGCACTTAATCTTCACACTTGACTTTGAGTCTAAAGTCAATCTCAACCCAAACTTCAGCCTCCACTAAACAAACAGAACAACAAATAACCACCACCATCACCGCCAAAACACTATTATGGTAACCTATCGAAGTAGGTCACCTGTCAAATTCAGATTATCACTGATCCTCGACCCCACCATTAACTGGGGCACTAC